ACTAAAATGTTAATGTTCTGTCATAGTATTTAATGACAGAAGTATCGAAATTTATTTCATTTTGAAACTCTTCTTGTTCATTATATTCCTCCTCCCTCCCCCCTCTTTTTAATTATTCTTATTTTACTTACAAATTACACTGCTATTATATAAATATGGTTCAATTCTTGTTTTCCTAATTAAGGACCCGATTTTTGACTTAAACATGAAATTATGGTGAAGATATTACTCTACCTTAAAAGGATTATAATCTAATAAGAAGAAATTACACCTTCTTAATCAAATAAAAAAAATGTATCCATGATTACATGGACATATTAATAGATAAACTATTTTTTATTATATAAATGTAGAAATTTTTTTGTTTATCTTTTGCTTCTTTCTAGTATTTTTTTAGAGAATTCTTTGTATAGTACTTATAAATATTTAATTAATATGATGTATGTAATACTCTAATATACGTTGATAGACACATACTAAAAAACCAATTAAACTATTAACTTAAATATTTATTTAAATTTAATTAAAAAAATGACAATAAATACATCACGCTGTAATAATAACTATTCTAATACAGTTACTCTACTTTTCAGATTTTGGCCTTTTGATTTAATCGATTTTCAGTTTTTCAATTTGGAACATTATTTTAATAACTATTTAGCTCAGTTTACAAGGTTTTATTGTGGATATACTCTAAGTTAATTACCTGTCTCAATAACAGTAAAATTACATAGTTAATTATAACTTTACTGTTATTGGAGGTAGCTAGGTAATTAACTTTGTTAGATGATATGATATGGTTCTCCTTTTAAAAATGTTATATTATTTTATTACACAAGTCTCTGTCTTGTCTTTTATTAATTATTGTTATCCATGCATCAAAATGTTTTATTGCATGTTATTAACTGCCCCTAATCACCAAACCGACCCCGATACAATATCAATGACGAAATTTACCGCCATAGCACCATCACCATGTCAGCAAAGGAAAATGTTAATTAATTACAGTGAGACGAAATCCGATAATAGCAAACGTTCGTAATCTCAGATCTAAAACCATGCAAAAGCCACTATATATTATAAATTATATTAGTATTAAAAATCATAATTGATTAAATTTTTAAGTGTATAACTTATACTTTACATTTATGACAAATAACATACATGATGATTAATTTATGCACAGATAACGTATTTAAGCATTTCCATAATCGTCTGAATACCCACTTGTAAAATAACATTGGATACGCTTCCTAGTTGTTACCTGTAAGTTAGTGCAACAATTTAAAATCATATCATTTACTCCAATAAATTTGAAAAAGACATGTCCCGTATCTTAATTTGAAGATTCAGTGATGCTGCAAGCAATCATTTTCTCACCTAGATCAACAACAATTTACCATTTTAAAGTTTAACTAATATAAACCGCGTGTTATTATGTGCATAAATTACTGTGAAAGGCGTTACATTCTAAACTATAGAAAATAAAGCTTTGGGAAATACTTTATACTTTAATGTTTTGAACTTTCAAGACTATATTTAAGTGTACATTATTTCTAAGCAAGAATCTAAAATATAAAATCCTAAAGATGATACGTTAAAATTTACCAAAAAAGTGATATAATAAAAATGATTCGAACAAAAACTTTAAAGAAACTTATTGTACAGAGAATGTAGTAATCTAGAGAGAAAGGAATTTTTTTTTCTTTAAATCATATTATTGGTGCAATCACTTTTGCATATGATTGATCTTGTAAAAAAACATGACTCACTATCTTTAGTTGAGTATTCACTCTTAATCATTAGTGAAAAATGAGTCTTTTATGTCACCTCTTTTTTGTCAAACATACCAAAAATCGATGTAAAAAAGATGCATTGGCATTTTTATAATTTTTTTGAACTCTTTTACGTCGGACTTGGTAAGGTCTGACGTAAAATGTAAAATCTACGTCAAATGTATGTTGTGTCCAACGTAAATTTTATATTGTACGTCGAACCCTACCAAGTTCGATGTAATAAAAGAAACGCGAAAATGTGGCACTCACTCAAAAATCTATTTAGAACCCATGTTGGAGTGGTGGCGGCGATGGTTCTATTTCCATGAAAAATAGGAGAGACGAGTGGAGAACAAGGCCAACGATACTGAATGTGGCACTCACTGAACAAAGCACTCACTCGAAAATGTGGCACTGCATCGCTTGCGGACTTCACCCCCAACCACCCGCTCGGATCTCACCTTTAGGGTTTTTCCTGAAAATCTATGTTCCTTTTTTCTTTCTTGTTTTTGAATTAATGCAAGCTCTATGGCCTACAGGAGATCAAGATGCCATCCAATATATGCATAGGGAAGCACCAAAGGCGGTCATTGAGCTTAAACTATGGAAAAGGTATAATTAGAATTTGTTTGGGTTGTTGACCATTGTACATGTACTACTGATCGAACTCGGCATGCTTTATTGCATCTAAAAGGGTCTGTTCTGCAACCAGAACGGCCTGTTCTTCTTGCAGTTTTTTACGACATAAAAACTCTAAAATAACCGACGTAGAATACATATCATTATGTATTAGTGAATTGTGTGTGTGTTTTTTTTCTTTTCATTCATATAACTTAAATTTGAAACCTCACTTAAGATGATTAAATTTAATTTTATTCGGACAACTTTCAATTTTAAGAAAGTAAAGTGTAAACCGTGTAATGTAAGTATTATTATAATAATCTTTATTTATGATATAAAAAACTTCAAGTGATTATGCTATACATGTGAGCTTAAATAAGAACACAGTTTATTTATTTATTTATTTATATTTAGCACTTGTTATATGTAACAATTCAAATCTTAGCTATTGAGTGTTGACATATTCAGTGCAAAAGCAAATGCCTGAAGTGAACCAACTTATTTATTTAATTAAAAAAGCCTATACAGTAATATGTGTGCCAGTGATAGTGTGCATGCATGTGTTTATGAAGCCTGTGATGTATAGCTTGTCTTGTATGTATGCAAAATGTAATTAAAGGAAAAACATATATATCCACAGTGACACTACAAATCCCACAATAAAACCCGATTATTGATGGTAAGTTGTAACACAAGTAATGTACGCCTACACGAATGTCTAATACAAGATGATATACATAGATAGAAGGTCCATATATCTGACATAGCAGAACAACCAATTCATTTCAATTCAACATTTCAAGTTTTCAACCCTCTCTTGTGAGTTTTTTTTAACTTGTCGGCCAAGGTGGCCCTACCACCATGCTCCTCCATCTCTCTCCCTCCGTGTGTGACCGACAAATTAAAATAGTGCATACCCCAAACCCTTAAATTTTGTCTACACGTACATATATATAGATCAAACAAGAAGCTATTGCAAGTTGTAATTGAAAATTCAAGGTGCACAAGTCCCCATTAAGCATATTTTTCTTGACACATTCATTATTTGCTTCACTTGACTACTTGAGACTACGCATAAGTTTGTTAATTTCAAATCTATCTGTGGGGTTGTTATTTCTACGAATTGCTCGAGCGGTGTATGTAGCTAGAACTCAATAATAATGCCTCCGTGTCTTGTGATTTTGTGGTTTGCTTCCGGGGAACCATCCCTTAAGTTCATGTACTATGACACCTCACACTTAAATACTCTACATATTGTTACATTCATGGGGCACTGATCCATAAGATCAATTTGAAAAGAGGTTCGAACCTTCTGCTTCCATATACAGACAAAAGTGAACCTCAAATTATTGGTTGAGCATAAAGTTCTTTAATAGTATCGTGTTATTTTGACCATCCGAATTATTTTGCTCATAAAACATAATCTAGTTAATTTGCATATTTGGAGTTATATATGACATTAGTTATCTTTAAACAAGTCCCTTAAGTTAAAAATCACTACTTTCGACCTAGCGGTAGAAGTTATAACAACATATATAAAATTTTAGCGTTATTAAGTTATTATAATTCTTGCGGATAAAAAAAAAATAATCCAAAAGCAAGCTATTAACGTTAAATCCACTATGGATAGTGTTTGTCCCTACTAATCCAAAGGTTTGTTCATACCAAAATTGTGCATTGGTTGCAATCTATGTGGACTCGTTTTTTTGATTGATCAACATATTAAGATTATAAGCTACCATCACTAGGAAGGATTACTCCACGTGTCAATCAATCATGCATGTGCCCCCATTTCATTTCAAATCAAGCTTTGGGGTCCATTAATGGATAGCTTCTGACCCACCACTCTATTGATGAAGTTCACAGGCTCTAACACACCGTTACTCGCTTTGATCATGAGAATTGACAATATTAGAATCTGTCCCACATTTCCCTTGGTTTTAACTTTTATCTGTTTTATCATTTATTTCATTGGCTCATTTTGGCCCTTATGGGCATCTTGTGCTAGACTGAATGGTAAGTGACAGAACGAAAAGGGAAAATTGTGTGGTGAAAAAGCACCAAACGATGGGGGTTAATCCAGCTATTGCTTTCAGAGCTCAGACAAAAATACCTGTAGCCTTCAATGAATATGGAAAAAAGCCTAGAGACACAAGCCTAGGTTCTAGTTTGAATCAAAAAGCCAAGCAACACAAAATACAGAGGCACATTTATGGCACATCCATCTACCCCTTCTGTATCCCATCACCTGTTTTAAGCTTTACAACCAAGCTAACAGGTTTTCTGTCATAAATAGAGGTGGGGAAAAAGTAGTAGTAATAATGGGATAAAAGAAAGTTACACTATTAATGAATGTTACTAGCAAAATAGTGCGAAAGTTGCACTGATCTAAGTGCCTATGCAAATGCAAATGCAAGGTATTTTTTTTCAGACACATGTATCTTCCATTAAAATCAAAACTCGAATAATTAAATAATATCATAGGCATGTGATTACTTATAAATAATAATTGGTATGTCTAATTCATACAATCCCTCCATAATTCCACCATCAATTCTCAATTGCGGGACCCACTAGTTTTCCTATTTATATCAAACTCACTACTATACCTTGAGCACTTTCCCTCAGTTTCTCCCTCACACCCTTCATTTTACACACTGCAGAATCATTCTCCTTTCTGCTGACACTTTAACTAGCTTTTCCTCATGGCTCTCTTTATCTTTGCTATTTTAATCTTGATGGCCCCTTCAAGCAATGCCTATTGGCCACCTTCACCTGGCTACTGGCCAAGTTCCAAATTCAGGTCTATGAGTTTTTACAAAGGGTTTAGAAACCTCTGGGGCCCTCAGCACCAAAGTCTAGACCAAAATGCATTAACAATCTGGCTTGATAGAACCTCAGGTCTGAATCTAATCACTTTCAATGCTCTCTCTTTCAGTTTCATATCATTAAAACTTAATCCACTTCCACTGCTTCGTTTCTGCTTCACAGGAAGTGGCTTCAAGTCAGTAAAGCCATTTCGATCCGGGTACTTCGGTGCTTCCATTAAGGTCCAACCTGGCTATACTGCAGGAGTTATAACAGCTTTCTATGTAAGATATGGCCACAAGACATGATATGATAAGAAGTGTTGATTGGTTGAAACTGAAAGCTTACACATTCTGTTTTTAGCCTATTAATTAATTACTAAAACTTTAATGGTGACGCATTGATGTTGTATACTGCCATTTAATTACAATCTATCATTAATGATAAATTTGTTAACTTTTATAATAATCATCTTAAAAGAAATACAAAATTGTGATTTTTATTAGTTGACTGTGTAAAATGTTTTACAATAGTGCATGATTATTAAATCCGATTACTATTAGTACTTAAAGTAATTATTTGATTAATGGCAGCTCTCAAATAATGAAGCACATCCTGGTTTCCATGATGAAGTGGACATTGAGTTTCTTGGGACAACATTTGGAAAGCCTTACACATTGCAGACCAATGTTTATATAAGAGGGAGTGGAGATGGGAAAATTATAGGCAGAGAGATGAAGTTCCATCTCTGGTTTGATCCTACCAAAGATTTTCATCACTATGCTATTCTCTGGAGTCCCAAGGAAATAATGTAAGTCACTATACATTGTAACTGTTTCTGAATGTGTGTGAAATTGAATGCATAGATTTTCAGTGCTGGTCCAAAAGAGAAGGATAGACAAGATAGGCACTACTTCGTTTTCTCATGAAGTAGATAGGTAGGTGAGAAGATAAAAGAAACAGTGTAAGCTTGGATTCGGTGTATGTGGCAATTGGTTTGATTGGTTCTTATCATCTGGTATCACAAATAATGATTCCTAAAGCCTTTTTTATTATAACTATTTCTATAATTAGGAAAGGTATAAAAAGAAAAGACAGACAAATAAGTGATGTAACCGGATTCAAGTATTGGGAGATGAAAGGGAAATAATTTATTTTTTCTCTGAAATTAAGGAAAGCAAGTAGGGATTTGACAGGAATAGTAAACCATGTAGAAATATCGTAGAACCAAGGTCACATGAGTGGCACAAAAAACATAAGCATCGAAGTGTGGGGTAAACTAAAATGATACCCAACTAATGAGAAGTTAAAAGTAACATTTGATTAATTGATGTACTAGCTCTTTTGATGGCCACTTAGCCAATTGTATTTATAAAATGAGTTCCAAGTGTTCACTAGCTATATAGATTTTGTGAATCTTAAAACATGGTTAATAATAGTTATTACATAGTTGGTTTTAGTGACATTGAATGATGTGCCAGATTCCTTGTGGATGATGTGCCCATAAGGAGGTACCCGAGGAAGAGTGGTGCAACATTTCCTCTGAGGCCAATGTGGCTATATGGTTCAATATGGGATGCATCATCATGGGCAACTGAAGATGGAAAGTACAAAGCTGATTATAAATACCAACCTTTTGTGGCAAAGTATACGAATTTCAAGGCTAGTGGTTGCTCAGCCTATGCTTCTCGTTGGTGCCATCCAGTTTCAGCCTCACCATATAGGTCAGGTGGGTTGACTAGGCAACAAAACAGGGCCATGAGATGGGTGCAAAGATACCACATGGTTTATAATTATTGTCAAGACCACAAGAGAGATCACAGTTTAACACCTGAGTGTTGGCGTTGAGTACACTTAGCTTTTTGGTCCAAAAAACAAAAACACTGTTCTCTTGTGATTTGTTTTGTTTTTCTCTTTCAGAAAGTTTCTTTTACTTTAAAGGAGTCACTTGAGATGGGCCCCCCCGCATTATGCAAGTGTACGGGGTTGTGCGTCCAAGGCTCTCAAGACACGAGAATATTTGGAAGATTGTGTGTTTTTCTTTTAGACAGAGAAAAAAATGAAAGGAATAATAATAATATTATTAATATCTATCTATCTGTGTCCAATGGAAAGCAAAGTGGCCACTGTGTATGGGTCGGTGAATGTGGCACTCATACTGAAATCACACTCTTCATTTAATAATGTTGTTATTGTCATTTTGATGATGAAAACGAGAAGCTCTGTGTGTTTTGGGGAGAGGGGTAAATGTGCATGTTTTGTTTTGTTCCTAACATGAAGCTGGTTTATTACCAACACATTGGAAAAGTTTGTTGCATGTGAAAAGATTGCATGATTGTGTAACAGGTTGTGGACCATTGGTTTGATTGGAAAGCAACCGAAAAAGAAATGAAAATAATTACGACAGCATGTAATCATATCAAAAACCTTTTTTATCAATAAATAATAGGATTGCTTTGTCAATGTAACTGTTTGTAATCTAAAGTGGGTATGTGTTAGGAATTTATAATCACTAATTAAAATTTCTTAAACATATACTTATCTTTCTTCCAATACTTTCTTTCCTCCACATTTCTCTATTTCTCCCATTATTTTGTATGCCTCACGTGGGTTCAATTGGTTAACCTAAACTCACCTTATAAAATATAGTGTTTAGGCTATAATTTTGAACACGAATTAAATAACAGTCTTTTTAAATTGATTTTGGTTTAGTTTGTAAAAATTCATATAAGTTGAACCTTCAACAAGCTTGAACTTTATTCGAAAGCTGAAATTAAATATTAATTTTTTTTAACTCATTATATCTTATATTTTGTATCGGATTTAGAATAACTCAAATTTACTTAATCGAATTTGGGACTTATGCTTTAAATTTTATATCATAAAATTTTAATTTTTTTTAGTCCAATTTAATCATGGATTGGTCTTACCTCAACACATAAAATTCAGTACAAATTAAATTTATATCAAACTTGAAACTCATTTTAAAGGCCTAAATTAAATAAAATTTTTCAGATCAACCTCATTGTGGGCAACAACAGGTTTATCTTAATTGATTAAGAAGACGGTATGATTATTGTAAATTTTTCGATGCTAAGTTCAATCCAAAAAATAAATAAATAAGTTTATAAACTTCAATGGTACTATTAGTTTATTCGTATGACTCAATGAAATCAAATAACACTTTATGTTTTTTTTTTTTTTAACTTTGTGCAATTTGTTAGGATTACCATTTAATGTGGAAAAAAATAGTTGCACGTGAAAATAACAAAATGTTTATTTTTATTTTTTTTTAAAAGTGTGAAATTCTATTTACCTCATGAAAAACAAGTTCTCAAACATATACATACACATTAAGATTATTTACATAATTTTTTTGACAAACATTTTTAAGAAGAAAAATATACGAAAAAAAATAAATTAAACTTCTTTATAAACTAAAACTAACTTATGTATAACTTAGTTTGTAGAACAATGGAAGTTATCTCATATTAACTTTTATAAAATCTTATTTTTAACTTAAAGTCTATTTAGATAAATTTCTCTACGAGTACTTCTAATATAGAAAATAAGAAGGAAAAAAATAAATAAGTTCTTTTGCAAGTTAAAATTAATTTAGATAAAAAAAATTGTATTAATTTTTTCAAAAAGTTATTTTTAATTTATATATAAGTTAGTTTTAATTTATGAAAAAAATTATTTCATTTATTTCTTCATATTTTCTTCTGTTAGAAGTCTTTGCGGAGAAATTCATTCAAACAAATACTTATACATAAACTAGTTTTAGTCTAAGGGGAAAGTTATTTTAAATATAAAAAAAAAAATCTTTTAGTATTTTGCTAATGTATACCTTTTTTTTCTTCTCTATTTCAAGATAATGTATTGAATAAATATGTCTTTTGTTGTGCACTGACATTATGCCTATCATAAAGTTTGTTTGTGAATGTGTGCGCCAAATCAATTGAAACCATATGCCAAGTAATCGAGAATGAAACAAAACCAAACATTGAAATGGTAATCTAGTGGCAGTCCAAAAATCATGAAAATAATCAAGTATGATTGATTGTTGAAGATGCTCGAAGGCGATAATAATTCATAAATCAGAGGCCATCATAATGCGAAGATCAAACAAACGAGGTCGTTGGTGGATAGCTTTTAAACAATTAATGGAGTGACAATTATTGAATGTTTTCCAAACGAGATATGGTTAAGCATTACACCCCTCTCCCTTTCTCTGCATTTTACATTTTTTAAGGATAAGTTATTTGATGTGAGATGTTTTATTTGAATAATTACGAAGTAGTTAGAATTAATTTCTTTCATTTTAATTTCTAACACTTATTTTAATATAAAGTTTGTAATTGAAATTAATTTAAACACACATTTCAATGGCATTTAATAATTCAAAATAATTCTATTAGCATCCATTTTACTTAATTTTAATATGGAGAAGTTCTTCAACTGTATCATAATGCCCTTAACTACAGCACTTTTCGTAAGAATCCGTTATCCCATGCAAATCAATTGCTAGTAGGGACCTATAATGAGATAACAAGAAAAACAAAAGGAAAAAAAACATATTCTAAATTTTATATGTAATCAATGCCTTTTTTAATAAAAGTAATAATAATTTCATCTCCTTAATATCCATAAAATTATTTAATACATTATCAAATTATGATGTCAATCGATTTTCTAAAAGCATTGGATAATATATTATTAATACATTGGATAAAACTTTTTAAATACGTCAAATATTTTTCATCACCAAAAATATTAAATGACTTATATTTTAAATATAATGAACCCTTTTTTTTAATAAAAACCTCACTTTTATTACATTAACTGTTATCCTTAAACACATTTAATAAACTATTAAACGCTTCTAAAAGAAATAAGTTTTAAATATTTTTTCTATTTCCAATATATTAAATCTTTTTTTAATTAATATTTTCTACTTGTATTTCTTTATGCTCTAAGAAAAATCATTTATGCACATCTTGTATACTTTAATTTCAATCTCCCTTTATCACATCATCAACATTGATCGTAATGATTAGAAGCAAACATTATTTTACCCTTGTAAACGTCAACCCAAAAAAATAATCGTAAAACATAAAAAGACTTCATTTTTAATAGATTCTTTTAGATATATCATTGATTATATACCACTTCCAGAACGCGAAAACATGTCATTGCTTCATTTAATCTTGTTACAAGTTACAAACATATAATTGATTATAGGACAACATAAAGAAAACACGTCTATGGTTAATTTAATTTATTGCTTTGGACGCATAATCGATTATAAGTCACCTCCAGGAAAGAAAATGTGTACGCTTTATTTAATCAATTATGTTGGACATTTAATTGATTATATGCTGCATGAATTCACAGTAAGAAAGAATCCAGAAAAGAGGGTTATAGAAGTAAAGTTTGTCCACACATTTCTGTCATTTAATTTGATTATTGTCAGTTTGTCACAATATCAATATCAACATTGCTGCTCTTATACAAAAAATATTACAAAAATATGAAATAAAAAAAAACCCCTTCAAAATAATTACAGAAAAGTGAACAAAGTATTCATAGGCCCGGGGCAGAGAAATAAATATCTCAACTACTTTTAGGACAGCTAAAATTCAGAGATATAATTTTGCACAAAAAAAATCAACGCCAATGATTCCCCCCTTTTTTCTAGAAAGACGGATTGCGGCGATACAAGTTGCGAAATATAGAATTATCTTCCTCACGAGTGTCTGGAATTGAAAAGTTGCAATGAGTTTTCACTTAGACAACCAAGTATTCCATGGCTAGGAGAGTACCTAAGATCACGGGCCTGAGCTAGCATTTTGAATTGCTGAAGAACTCTAAAAGATGGCAGCTCATGCAAGACCAATTCACATGCAACTTCATCCCAAGATGCAAACACTCTGCTCTGATTCTCTATGTCCATAATTACACATTTAGGTAGACGAATTTTACTTACATTGGCATACGAGGAACCCGCTTTTTGAAAATGATGACTGTCCATTCTATTGAACAGGACATGAGTGCCTTGTACTCCGTATCCACTAGTAAGAGGAGTGGGCGATGGTTGAGATAGAGGAACATCCATGGACATGTCGAATTTTGGTCGGTAAGAAGCAACAATCTCATCACTACTAGGGCAATAGGCAAGGGATATGCAAACTCCTTGATTATCAGTTTCAGGAATCATAAGCGGCCTTCATGTTGAAAAAGTGAAGCATTAGGAGAGCTAATTACAGTAATAAAAATAAAAGTTAATCACCTATATACTGTCAGTATAAAGTTTTTTTACACTGGCAACCAATTATATCTTTTAATTGTGTTATGTCACTATTAAAAGTAAATGTGTTTACAGTGACATGATACAATTAAAAGATATAATTAGTTGTCAGTCTAAAAAAACTTTACACCGACAGTGTATAGGTGATTAACTCTAAAAATAAAGCATGACAACATTTCTACATGATTGCTTGCACCTGATGGAAACAAGTTGAAATTATGCAGTGGAAAATAGGATGATCCATCATATACTATATTATAAAAGCAGCTAACAATCCCAATTTTCGTAAACTAATTAAATTCAATTTATAGAAATAATGTGTAAATTTCCAAAATGCAAAAGAAATGACACTAACAAGAAACAATCTAAATTTTTTTTAACAATATACGTTTCATAGTATACATATTATATTACACTATCATACAAACTGAAAAATATCAGGCACAAAAGCAGTGAGGAGGCAAAAGGTATACGATTATTCCTAATGTCAGCATACTTATTGAAAACAATTCTATTTATAGCCACAGGTAAAGACCCATACAAATCCAGAAGAAAAATATGTAAGAAGGGGGGGGTGTTACAATTGTCCATCATAAATTCATAATTGAAAGATAACAATTACAACTATAACTGGATAGTGTCAGCCAGTGCAAGTTTAGTACAATATTTAAAAAGCAATGGTAATGGAACATATAAGGATAATATCCATAAACTGTAAACAGCCTACCGTTCTTCAGAATCAATGTTCCACTGACAAAGGCCAATGGCAGATGCAGATAGGATGGTTTTAGCGCCAGAAGGAAGACTTAAAGTTTGTGCAAGAGAATGTACAGTGTGCACAGGGTTGCTAGTCAACCCAACCAAAGATTTCATGGGTCCTGCAGTTTGCCGCATATCAAACACCAAGACAGAACCATTCTGCAGATATTATATGAAGATCAGCATTTGAAGTTCCCACATCCAATAAATACAAAACCAAAGTGCTGACCTGTAGTCCAGCATATATGTATTGCGAACCGTTGAGATCCCATGAACAAGACCAAGCAGGAACCTGGAATACAATTCTAGTAAAGGTGAAAAACTCGAGGGACAAATTGCAATCTTTATGCAATAAAATTAGCACAACAGCAGAAAAGGTGCACGGAAGAATCTATCATAAAAATCTATTTCTGTAAGTAGTTTGGATTATTTTCCATTATGTCATTTCTAAGATTCTGGAATCAGGGGAACTAAAAAGAGCCAAGCCATTTTGTCATGTGCTGTTTGCTGTTATGGGATACCTACTTACAACTGCATCTTTTAAGGAATTCAAACATTCAGTGGATTTTTATCTTATTTATGGTGTTCAGTTGATGGTTACATTAAATGGGCATTTTTTGGCTGTTCTTGAGGTTTTCTATTACTTAAGAAGGATAAAAAGTTAAATGTACAAGCAATAATAAATTACTGCCAAGAGCTTTGTTACTACTAATTTACCGAATCAAAATAATGAATCAAACTTCTACCTGCAGATCATAATTGATTACAGTGTTGCCGCTGTCCAAGCTGTAAGAAAAGGCAATACATAAAGGACCAACTTTTACTATGTCAGACAAAATGAATTTGTACTTTAATGCAACTATACCTGAGCACTGATAACTTCTTCCCTAATGAAGCAAAGAGAGCAAGACTACTATTAGAAGGAGAAATATGTAGGTCTTTAACACCATTTGTAGCTGAAGGCAGTATGATATCTTGCGCCTCATTTGGATATAACAAGCTCATCTACAAAGCCATGTTTCGATAAAGGTTTAATTGAAACCCTTCATTGTATAAGAGATACTAAAGCCACGCACATATTTCAAATTAAAGAATCTTACTTTAGTTAGCAGGTGCATTCCACCTACTGCCTTTGGCTTTTGTGCAATTAATAAAATTTGATTATAAATGTCCATATCAAAAACTCGTGCACCATCCAGATGAAACACTCCCTAAAAAGGATAAACAACTAATTAAATAAAATTCAAATTATCAACACAAATAGACAACACCATATAAAGATATAAATATTTAACAAAATAAGCATATAAGAGAGGACATGTTATTTAAAAACAACCTAGGATATTTTACACTTTACCTCCTTATAGTTCCACATACTCCCAACTTACCTTAAACTCTTTTTAAACCACTAAACCTCCCTGAAGTTTGGTTTCAATTGAAATCTGTTGAACTAATAAATTCCATTAAGCTTGTTAATTTAACTATGGTTCTAGGTTCAATAGCCACAGTTTTAACCATGCCAGCATTTTTCACTTCAACACAAAGTTTGGGGGTTAGTATGCCAAAAATTAGGAGGTCAATTGAAAAGGATGAAACTGAAAGAGAATAAAGTGTAATTTTCCCAAAATATACTGTCCTGCATATGCAATACATGGTGCTGTTAAGTAGGAGGGGAGAGAGAGTGGCATACCTTCAATTCAAAATTGCAAATGGAACCACTTCCATGGTACTGTGGGCCAAAGTTGTGCTCTACAAGTTACATTCAGTAAAAGTCAATGTGTTCAAAGCCACAAATTAACAGGGAAAAAAACTGGAGCAATGAATGAAATTAACTTCAATTTTTTTCTTGTTAAAAAAGGATTTGTTATTTTTGTTGATGTAGAAAGGGGGTGGGGAAGGAGGAGCATAAGGAGGCAAATTATATAACGCAAAGATCTATCATTTCATCAGAACATTGAAAGGATAATTACCAGATTCACTTCTCCATTGAGAGTTTGCATTGCCATTTATCAAAGCAGATTGCCTGCTCTGCATATCTAGTAGCAGCTGCTCCAAATAAGTGTTTCTCTACAAGACCAAAGGTACAAACTGGAATTATTTAAAACTATACAGACAAAGATTGAGAGGGGTCAAAAAGGCTTATATGATATGCACAAAATCTTTATGCAGATTCACGCTGCTTAAATTTCTGTCCCCTTTGCCCCCGAAGCATAGTGTTGGTTTCAAAGTAACAAAAATAGTTGAAGATGTTAAATTATTGGGTTTTAAAGGAGGTAAATAGGCAAACAACGGAAACAGTGTTATCCTAAATGAACTAATAAAAAAGGGGCTAGGGGAAAATGATGTAACAATGTTGGCAAACATACACAACTATGTCGTCTATCAATTTCGTCTAAAATAAGATAAAATCAGGCACCAAAAAGTGGTTCTAACGGGAAAAAGTTTCTATCTTCAATACTAATGAATAAGGGATACCTCTGTAAGCTTCTGGACTTGAAGATGCAAGGCAGCTTCTCTCTTCTGCCATCCAGCTTCTTTCTTGCGCCAATCACTGCCCTGAGAACATAATTGATATAATGTTTTAACCAAGAATAATAGCAATATAGCCGCATATCCGAGGATAATCAAAGCCCTCACAAAGCCAGGAAGAAAAGATAGCATATATCCATGACTAGGGGAGGTGGACAACAGGGACAACTTTTCCTAAAAAATAATCACACTTAGCAACCAAAAGAAAAAAATATTCAACAGCTTAATACCTGGATTTCAAGGGCAACACATTTTCCCTCAAGCGACCGAATTCTCTGTCAACAAGAAAAAAGAGTAATCAGGCAAAATATTTTTTAAAGAGTTTCCTTTGTGCTTCCATAAAACCGACCCAACCTTCTGAGATTCTTCCTCAACGGCAACTACTCGAGAAGCATAGAGTTTCCTCACATCCTTCATCGAACATTTCCTATTACATTGAGGACACTAGAACCAAAGAACACAAAGACAAATGTCAGGTCCATTTTTCCGCTACATAAATTTCAGAAATCACATCTCAATTCTCAGCCAAACCAACCACAGTATACACTTACCTTCCCCGAATTTTTCCTCTGTTGAAGCCATCTTTTGATGCAAGACATGCCATATATGTGTCCACAAGGAAGACAACTGAACTCATTCACCGCCGAAAATTAAAATAAATCACCACATTGTTCACAAACACTTCACAACAATTTAACAACAAACACATCAAATTACAAAACAATCACACGCGAAGGGAAAATGTAACTTAGGGTAAGGGTTCACGGTTGCACCAGATGTGATGTTCGCCGTTGTTGGTCCAAACGTCCATGCAAATAGGGCAAAAGAGACCGTCAACCTCGGTGCGGCTCCACTCGTTCCCTTGACTATCGCCAGCCGCGAAGGAACACGAAGCCTCGCCTCCTTCGGTTCTGCGGCGCTTGTTTCCCTCATCTTCCGCGGAATTCTGCGATTCGTCGGGGATTACGATGACGCGAG